GATAGAACATTGTGTAAACCGCACTCTGCAGATAGAACATTGTTGTTAGGACGCGTCGAATTGCAGTAGAATCAAGAAAATGCCTCTATAGAGCAGACAATGCAAGTTCTATCTGACTTGTCGACTTGTCCCAATCCCAATGCAAATCTGCATCCGATCAAGAACACAATTTTCTAGGTGTGTTGTGTTGAAAAGCTCACAGAAGTTAAGCTATAGCAAACCCCTGCAGCTACGGTACGGTGAATGCTGGCTTGGGTGAATCCGGTTGCATTACCGTAACTTACAGAGTTGTTCACCGTATAGCTTACAGTGAAATTCATTGTATAGCTTTTGTTAAGGTGACGGCGAGTAACTAATTAGTGGATGTTCATGTTAACCGTGTTTCTGGAGACCTGCCTCTGCCACCCCTTTCATTTTCTTCTTTTGTGTCGTATGCTTGGCGTTGCTTATGGCCTCTCATATACACGGGACGGGTGCAGTCGGGGGTACAGAGGGACTCTGGCCTGACGCCAGTCTCCCATATCTCCAGCACGAAGAAACAAGAGAAGTGTTTTAGGGAAGATGGTTCCTTCCTGCATGACACATCCAAGCTAAAAAAAAAATCACAAAAAAATCGCATTGTTGTATCAGTTTTCAGTCTTAAGTATTAATACTAACAAATATCGTTCTGTAACAAAAATATCTCAATGACAGTATTTAAGAATTACGGAAAACATGTAATTTTATGAGTATTAGGATACCGTGCTGTGGACGAGACTGGCTCCCGGAACAATATTTTCCGCAGAGCGCAGAGCATGGCGTATGTGCGCCACTCGGCCAAAATCTTTCTAGTGAATAATGAATGAGATGGAAAGAGAGGCGCCTCTTTTGTCTCCTCGTTCGTAATTCGTTACAGCCATTAATCTTGCAGAGACGAAGGTACGCGGCAGACTGTTGCTGCTGGTGTTCAGGCTGCCGGCAACGCTGCTTCACGCTCCCGACCAGGCACGCACGTAAACCTGGTTCGGTGGAACGGAACGGCTGCTCGTACTGACTTCTTTGCAATTTTTCCCATCACACCCGCTGCAAGAAAAAAAATTGACTTCGTTTTACTTCACGTAAAATCGTTAACATTTCATGTTAACAAATAGACGATCCGAATAAAATAAAACCTAGTACAACCTCATTGATAGTATTCAAATATGTTATTGAGTTCTAGAACTAGAGTTACGACTCTTTGTTCTGAGATTCGCGGCGTTGTACGTTGTTGTCGTCCGTCTCTGCTGACCTAACAAAACAATTATCTCCCCAACACACTGTTAAAAAAAATCCACAGGAAATTCCACAGTGAGCCCTGTCAATTTGTTACTACGACCGCGACTGTAGTTATGGATTACGGTCCACTCCGTACAAGATGTACCGTAACTTCGCAAACCGTCTTTTTGATCAATACAGCACTTGACTGTGAAGTACGGTCGATATCTTTACAGTCCGGCCCGTACATAAAATATACAGGAAGGACTGTAGGCAAACTGTACTTCCTTAGAGCTTTTTTAACACGCGTCAAGCACTAATATTGCAGAATTTTTCCGGTATAGCCGACCCTTAACGGGATCGTCTAAGGTGTTTGTAACGTCGATTTGAAAATCACGCTTGACCCTTATGCATCATGTTGTGCAGCAAGCATGGTGCAGAATTTTGAGCAGCTATAGTTTCAGAACCCGCTTCTTTACGTTATCTTTGTCTCATAAACCCTCCGACACACACACACACACGCAAACTAAGAACAAACTTTGCCCGTCTGGACGGTGTCAAAGGCTCATGAAGAATTATTGGCGTTTCACTCAGTTTGCAGCCCCCTCTCTTCCCGTGGTTACGGAAGATTTCTCGCCCCTCGCGACCGTAGCGAGCGTGACCGGCTCAATACTTTATCGCCTCTCTCTCTCTCTTTCTCTGATTCCACCCAGTCTCTATTTCGTCGACAGATGTCACCATTCCTTTTTTGGTCTCAAGTGTGCGAACTTTTGCCAGTACGGACGCGTGAATATACGATTTTATTGGTTGGCCTCTATGTTTGATGATGTGTTTGGCGACGACTTGCGACACTCGGCGGCACTTGGTTATGACCAAAAATATTGTGTTGACGAAGGGGGATTCCCTCCGAATAAAAAGTCATGAGCTGAAGGAAGGGGAGGAAAGTAAAAACCTTTCAGGATCCTCCCTTTCCCTTGCGCAGGCAAAGCGCTCGCTCTGCGATTCACTGCTTCCCGATGAGTTCTTTTTTATTATTAATTTCTTTTTCCTGCGCAGTAAAGTGACTCGAGAAGTTTATCAATGAACGGTTGAAGTGGGGGAAAGAGGGAGGGGTTATTTAAGGAAAATAATCCCCCCGTGGGACTGCGGAAAGACTGGCGCCGCTTCTCGCCCAGTCAACCACCACCACCACCTCCACCACACCACTACCACCACCACCACCACCACGCCCCGCCACGCCGCACCCCCAGCCACCAAGGCCAGGGCGAGCAGAG